CAGGAACTGCCATTTAGACACTTTCGGGGGAATTGCTTTATCCTTTTTTAATCATTTTAGCGTTGTGACTGTAAAACAAATACACTAGAGATTGCTATCAAAATAATGTTATTTCAGCTGTATGTTTGAAAGGAAATTGGGTCTGGCTTTTGGAAGAATTAACTTCACTAAAAAAATTCCTAACAGATCTGATGGTTACAGCATGAGAAAAAACTCATTATAAGGTATCGGAGCAATTTTTTTTTATGCTCAAGCTAACCAGCCAGACCGATTTTAGGAGTAGGTGTTGTTGTTGTTGTTCAGTCCCACAGTCGAGTCCGACTCTTTGTGACCCCATGGACCAGCTCCCGCCAGGCCCTCCTGTCTTCCGCCATCCTTTGAAGTTTGCTCAGTTTCATGTTCGTTGCATTTATGACACTGTCTAACCATCTCATCCTTTGCCGTCCCCATCTTCTTTGACCTTCAATCTTTCCCAGCATCAGGGTCTTCTCCAGTGAGTGCTCCCTTCTCATTTGGTGGCCAAAGTATTTGAGCTTCAGTTTCATTATCTGGCCTTCCAGGGAACAGTCAGGGTTGATTTCTTTTAGGATTGACTGATTTGATCTTTTTGCAGTCCAAGGGACTCTCAAGAGTCTTCTCCAGCACCATAGTTCAAAAGAATCTATTCTTCGGCGCTCGGCCTTCCTTATAGTCCAACTCTCACAGCCATACATGACTACTGGGAATACCATTGCTTTGACCATGCGGACTTTTGTTGGCAGGGTGATGTCTCTACTTTTTATCATGCTGTTTAGGTTCGCCATCGCTTTCCTCCCAAGGAGCAGGCGTCTTTTAATTTCATGGCTGCTGTCACAGTCTGCGGTGATCTGGGATCCCAGGAACGTGAAGTCTGTCACTACTTCCACAGCTTCCCCTTCTATTTGCCAAGGAGTGATGGGGCCGGATGCCATGATCTTAGTTTTTTTGATGTTGAGCTTCAAGCCCACTTTTGCGCTCTCCTCTTTTACCCTGAGCAAGAGGCTCTTTAGGTCCTCTTCACTTTCTGCCATTAGAGTGGTAGCGTCTGCATATCTGAGGTTGTTGATCTTTTCCCCAGCAATCTTAATTCCCGCTTGTGATTCATCCAGGCCAGCATTTCGCATGATGTACTCTGCATATATATTAAATAAGCAAGGTGACAATATACATCCTTGTCGTACTCCTTTTCCTATGCTGAACCAATCAGTTGTTCCATATCCGGTTCTAACTGTCGCTTCTTGGCCCTTATACAGGTTTCTCAAGAGACATGTGAGGTGGTCTGGTACTCCCATCTCTTTAAGGCCCTGCCATAGTTTGTTGTGATCCACACAGTCAAAAGCTTTAGCATAGTCAATGAAGCAGAAGTAGATATTTTTCTGGTACTCTCTTGCTTTCTCCATAATCCAGCGAATGTTGGCAATTTGATCTCTAGTTCCTCTACCTCTTCGAAACCCAGCTTGTACTTCTGGTAGTTCTCTATCCACGTACTGTTGAAGCCTAGCTTGTAGGATCTTGAGCATGACCTTGCTAGCGTGTGATATGAGTGCAATTGTGCGATAGTTTGAACATTCCTTGGCATTGCCCTTCTTTGGGATTGGAATGTATACTGACCTTTTCCAATCCTGTGGCCACTGTTGCGTTTTCCAAATTTGCTGGCAAATGGAGTGCAGAACTTTAACAGCATCCTCTTCTAAGACTTTGAATAGCTCAGCTGGGATACCATCACCTCCACTAGCTTTGTTGTTAGTAATGCTTTCTAAGGCCCATTTAACTTCACATTCCAGGATGTCTGGCTCGAGGTCAGTGATTATACCGTCGTGGTTGTCAAGGACATCGAGGTCTTTCTTGTATAGTTCTTCTGTGTATTCTTGCCATCTTTTCCTAATCTCTTCTGCTTCTGTTAGGTCCCTACCGTTTTTGTCCTTTATCATGGCCAGCTTTGCATGGAACGCTCCCTTGATTTCTCCAACTTTCTTGAAGAGATCTCTAGTCCTTCCCATTCTATTGTTTTCTTCTATTACTTTGCACTGTTCATTCAGGAAGGCCTCCTTATCTCTCCTTGCTGTTCTCTGGAAATCTGCGTTCAGTTGGGTAAATCTTTCCTTTTCGCCTTTGCCTTTCGCTTTCCTTCTTTCCTCTGCTATTTGTAAAGCCTCATCAGAAAGCCACTTTGCTTTCTTACATTTCTTTTTCTTTGGGATGGTGGTGATTGCTGCCTCCTGTACGATGTCACGAACCTCTGTCCATAGTTCTTCAGGCACTCTATCTATCAAATCCAGACCCTTGAATCTATTCTTCACCTCTACTGTATATTCATCAGGGATGCGATCTAGGTCAAACCTGAATGGCCTCGTGGTTTTCCCAATTTTCTTCAGTTTAAGTCTGAATTTTGCAATGAGTAGCTCATGATCTGAACCACAGTCAGCTCCAGGTCTTGTTTTTACTGACTGGATAGAGCTTCTCCATCTTTGACTGCAAATTATATAGTCAATCTGATTTCGGTGTTGCCCATCTGGTGATGTCCATGTGTAGAGTCGCCTCTTAGGTTGTTGGAAAAGGGTGTTCGCTATGACCAGTGTGTTCTCTTGACAAAACTCTGTTAACCTTTGCCCTGCTTCATTTTGCTTTCCAAGGCCAAACTTGTCTGTTATTCCAGTTACCTTTTGACTTCCTACTTTAGCATTCCAGTCCCCTATGATGATGAGGACATCATTTTTTGGTGTTAGTTCTAGGAGGTGTTGTAGGTCTTCATAGAACCGGTCCACTTCAGCCTCTTCTGCATCAGTGGTTGGGGCATACACTTGAATTACTGTGATGTTGAATGGTTTGCCTTGGAATCGGACAGAAATCATTCTGTCATTTTTGAGATTGTATCCCAGTACTGCCTTTTGCACTCTCTTGTTGACTATAAAGGCCACACCATTTTTTCTACGAGATTCCTGGCCACAGTAGTAGATATAATGGTCTTCTGAGTTAAATTCGCCCATTCCTGTCCACTTTAGTTCACTGATTCCTAGGATATCGATGTTCAGTCTTGCCATCTCATTTTTGACCACGTCAAGCTTACCTTGATTCATAGATCTTACATTCCAGGTTCCTATGCAGTATTGTTCTTTGCAGCATCGGACTTTCCTTTCACCATCAGACACATCCACAACTGAGCGTCCTTTCGGCTTTGGCCCAGCCGCTTCACTCTTTCTGGGGTTACTTGTACTTGCCCTCTGCTCTTCCTCAGTAGCATATTGGACACCTTCCGACCTGAGGGGCTCATCTTCCGGCGTCATATCTTTTAGCCTTTTGTTACTGCCCATGGGGTAGGTGAGGATGGTTTAAATTATTAGAGATCAGCCGAGGGAGAAGACGCAGTAGTGAGGCACTTGTCTGTCTTGCCAGGGCTCGGTTCATGGAATTCTCTAATATATTCCATGGGGTAGGTGAGGATGGTTTAAATTATTAGAGATCAGCCGAGGGAGAAGACGCAGTAGTGAGGCACTTGTCTGTCTTGCCAGGGGTCGGTTCATGGAATTCTCTAATATATTCTTAATTTTACATTTTAATTGTTTTGCTTTTTTATATAAACTGTTCTGAAAACATGGGGGAAAATGTATACAATACTGTTAATAGGTGGCTGCTTTCTCAAGTCAATAGAAGTGTGAGAATCCTACCAGTGTTCATGGGCATGTGAAGTGTGTTCTCTTAAAAGGAGTACAAACATAAGGAACTGTAAATATGGATATCATGGTGGCTGTATGGGAAATAGTTCTGGTTGAATGAAAATATATCATTCAAAATGATCCCTCTCTGAAGGTTTTCAAGATTTTTTTTCTCCCTTGTAGTATGGAGGGGAAGAACATCTGGATACCCCACCAACTGAATTACTGCTTGCTCAAACAGAAGATTATGTGGAATATTCTAGACATGGAACAGTTATTAAAGGCCAAGAAAAAGCTGTTGCTCGCTCTAAATATGAGGAAGATGTTATGCTCAACAATCACACAGTAAGCACCTGGACCAAGCAACATTGATATATAAAATCAGCTTTGCTGGATTGGATCATCGGTCCACCTGGTTCCATATCCTTTTTCACTCAGTGGCCAACCGGATAGCACCAAGCCTATGTGCCATCTCTTCTCATATGCCAGTTGCAGTCCTTAAATTGTCACCTGCCAGTTGTCCCCCCCCATTTAGAGTAGCCCACCTGACATCAACTAGAGCCTGTGCCTTTTTCATCATAGCTCCCACTGACAGAACAGGCTGCCTGAGAAGGTGAAGGGGATGTGACTTTTTTCCATTTGTAAGCTGCCTTGAGCCATAGGAAAAGGGGAGGTATAAGTATTTTAGCTAAATGCAAGGCATTATCCCAAGTGCTCCCCCTGTTGCTCTCCCCTCCCCAGCACTAGTGTCCAGAGGTGTGTATTGGCTCTGAATTAAATTGGCTTCATTAAATCATAATGACCCATTCTCCAGAAATTTGTCTAATCCCCTTTTAAAGGCATCTAAGATGGGTGGCCATCGCATCCTGTGGCAGTGAGTTGTACAAGGGAATTGTGCATTTTGTGAAGAAGTACTTCTTTTTTGTCTTCCTGGATCTAATGCCCATCACCTGGGTGTGTCCGGCCCACCCCCCAAGTTCCACTATTATGGGAAAAGAAGAACAAGTTCTCTCTATCTGCCCCTCTACATCAAGCACAATTCATCATGTCCCTTATTACGTTGTTTGATCCCAGACCCTTTAACCTTTCTTCATAATTCTGGTTTCCCCTTTCCAGCTGTATGATACGCCTTTTAAGGTACGTTATCAAGAACTGTACATGGTACTGTAAATGCAGCCACACCATAGATAGGTAGGAGTTTTGTGTTTTCAAGGAAAGCGATGCTTCCACACTCTTCTGTGTCTGCTGTTCTCTCCTGAATGAGCTCTATGCAGTAATAAGTCTTTTTGACAAGCAAATTATTGTATCTTTTTCTCCCCTCAGTGTATTTGGGGTTCTTATTGGAAGGACGGCAAATGGGGATATAAGTGCTGCTATTCACTTGTCAAGTATTCATACTGCACAGGAGATGCTGGAAAAGAAATTGCTGTAAGAATTGCCATTTTCTTTACTATGACCATTGACAACTACAGCTTTACATTTTTTAAACTAGCCAACTACTTGTCCCTTTTAGAAATCTGATTCTTTCACCCCTTCCTTTCACACGTAGAATGCTGATGAAGAATTGCCTGCTGGAGAATCAAATGAGGAAGAGTATGGGACTGTTCCCAAAACTCTTGTAGAGGTAGGTTGCCCTTTCTCCTGTCTGCTTTTGGTTGCAAAACAGCCTATTGGTATATCATGGGAAGGGGGAACAAGAGAAAGTCAAGGATTCTATAGCATGTGCTGCTTAACTTTGGGATCATTTAAAAATTGAAGATAAGAATGCACAACTCAAGTATTAGATGTTTGTAATTTTTGTATCTTCATTCCCCAGTATGGGTTGGATCCAGTGGTAGGCTTCTGGTAACTGAAGGGGAGAATTTTTGCTGTTTCCTCCCTCCTGTTACAAATCTCTGACTCTCCCCTTGTGCTGTTTCGGGGGGGGGTCCCTCTGAAATCCCTAGGAGCAGCATTTTGGGAAGCATTTTGAGCTGCAGTGGGATGGGAAAAGCAATAGAGTGCTCTTCTGCTGAAGGCAGTCACTTCCATTAGCAAAAATTACTGTTGATTCCTTCCCTGTAAGTGCATTTATTCCATTTCTTCATGACACAGCCCATGTTCTTCTTCTTCATAATACATTCTCATTGTGCTTGTTCTGTGATTTCCTCTTCCAAACCTAACCCAAGTACAGCTGTGGGCACTCTGGAGTTTTTAGCTATCATGAGATTTCCATTCAGTGCAATTATAGGAGTACCCCTTCAAATCCATACCAGTGTTCCCTCTAAGCTGAGTTACTGTGAGCTAGCTCACAGTTTTTTAGCTTCTGGCTGACACATTTTTCTCTTAGCTCAGAAAGAATGGCTCCAGAGCAAACTAATTTATGCAGCAGCCAAATAACTCACTCACAAATTTAATGCCAGTAGCTCACAAAGTAGAATTTTTGCTCACAAGACTCCACAGCTTAAAGGGAGCATTGATCCATATCGGTATCATGGGTGTGCATCCTACTCCTGTCATGGCAGCAGACAAAATCTAAACTTGTGTAGGGTGTGCATGATGGCTCCCATGTATGCAGAGGGCCAGTTGATTGGGGTACATTATCTTTTTCAGGACCCATTTAAAGCTGTTACCCTTTCCTGTCTTCTACAGATACATCAAGAAAAGCAGAGAGAAGAAAAAAAGAAAAAGAAGAAAAAGCATAAGAAGAGTACTAGTTCTGATAGTGAGGGAGAAGAGAGGAAGAAACAGGAAAAACTGAAAAAGGTATGCTTGATCTAAGAATTGTTTTTCTCCTACACGCAAATGATTCACAAACTGTGGAGCAGGAATCCTTCACTGGAGGGGGGGGGGCAAACAGGGAGGACACAAAGTTCCAGGGAAATATATGGTTCAAAGACAGGTAGTATCTTCCTGTCCAACCAGCCAAGGTCTATGTAGACTCAGTGTCCCTGTAGCTGACCCTTATTGATCCACATCAGATTTGGAGGGCAGGCTGTTCCTTTACTGCCTTGTCATCCCAGTCTGCTTTGGAAAGTTTAGAAAGAACTACTACTTTGTTCCCTTGTTGTGTGATTTTAGAAGAGGGTTAGGGATCTCTTGCTCTACTCTTCTAATGCCACTGCAGAGTGGCTTCTCCATTCTACAGAGCCTTGCACATAACAGCAGGCTATATGCACGTGAGTGACTGCAAAGAGGAGGAAGGTTATTGGCACTGGGTATTGCTGATTCTATTACAAAAAAGTCCATGGGGAAAAAACCCCACAGTCATAAATGCCCACATGGAAGTAAGCCCACATGGGAAAAATCCCATACATATAAAAGCCCACACGGAAAGAAGCCCACATGGAAAATACCATGTAAAGCACCATAGATTTATAATGGTGGATAACCATTCATCATTTATGAGAATGAACAGGTATTACCTATATTTTATACTAGGAAAAAGGCCCATTGTGGAAATAAATACAACGGCCTCTAGAAAGAGGCTCTGGGCGGGTGCCCCGGCCTTGGACACTCAGTGTCAATTTGCTGTGCCGACCTCAGCAGGGTATAATGACACTGAGTCCACCATTTTCTCCAGAGGAACTAATCTCTGCTACCTAAAGAGCAGTTGTAATTTTGAGTGGTCTCCAGCCCTCACCTGGAGATTGGCAACGATGGGTCCCCAGAAGGGAATGGTCAGTTTGGAGGATGGAGTCTATGGCTTTGTACCTATCCGAGGTCCCACGCCTCCTGAAACCTCACCCTCTCCAGGCTCCATCCCTCACATCTCCAGGAATTTCCCACCCAAAGTTGGCAACCCTTTCTCCTTCCCAGCCAACTATCAACCTACCTTTATTTCCCCCTCACTCTTCAGCTTTCCACCCACACACACCTGCAGCCTCTCCCGTGCTCTGAAGCCCCGACGGCTACGTCACATATGGGGGCCACTACAGCAGCATATAAGGATACAGAGCCCTCCATTTTCTCCAGGGGAACTGATCTCTGGAAAGCAGTTGTAATTCTGAGGGATCTCCAGCCCTCACCTGGAGGTTGGACACATTTTACCTCAGAACAGCAAAACTGTTTAGAATGTTAGAGGCAAAAGCCAACCAAGTCGCATATGCAAACGACCTCTGTGTTCCGAGGCAGAGGCCAATGCAAACGACCTCTGTGTTCTGACTGGCTATGGGGGGGGGGGGCAGCAAAATGTTTAGAAAGTTGGAGGCAGGACTCAGACAAAGCAGCCAGTGGATAGGGAGACCCTCTGAATGACAGATCAGAGAGTGAACTGATTTTGGAGTGTGTGGAATGTTCTAGAGAAGTGCCACCACCGTTCGGCTTTTATTTATAAGGGAGATTGTTGTTTTAGGATTAAAATATGTCATATTCACATGCAAGTATAAGTTTTGTATAGTAATGAAGTAATTCACTAATAACATAGCAAAAAATTTTATTTGATTATACTTGATAAAATCACAACACAAATTGTTGCATGTGAATATGACATGTTTTAATCCTTAAACATCAATATAAATAGGTAATACCTGTTCATTCTCATAAATGGAGATGAATGGTTATCCACCATTATAAACATCTATGGCGCTTTACATGGTATTTTTCCATGTGGGCGTTAATATGTATGGGCTTTTTTCCGTGTGGGCTTTTTTCCTGTGAGCATTTATGACCGTGGGTTTTTTTCCTGTGGGCTTTTTTCCGGTCATCAGTTTTGCTGGTCCCAGAAGATAACATAAGCTTAGCAGAGAGTCCCAGAATTCAGAAACATTTGAGGAACACTGCCATAATCCAAAGCTTCTCTTGTGTAATGGACAGGGACAGCGTGAGAACATATTTTCTCAGTGATTTTTTTTATTATTTTTTTGTGTGTGTTTCACTCACAAGGCTTGGTGTAGAGACAAGAGGCCGGCACGACATCCCTTGGGCAAAATCCACCTCAGAGGGAGCCATTAGTTCCCTGCTGACCATAACCCTTTCTCTGTTTTCAGTCTCCTTTCTTTACTGAGAAGTGAACAAGACTCACTGTCTGTATTAGCTGTTCCCACCTGCTCACTGGCTTCTGTATCATAGTTCTGGGCTCAGCTGTAAGGTTTTTATGGCTTGGGGTTTCATTTCAGGCACTAAACGCAGAAGAAGCCCGTCTCCTCCATGTGAAAGAGATCATGCAATTAGATGAGAGAAAGAGGCCATATAACAGCATGTACGAAAGCCGGGAGCCAACAGAAGAGGAAATGGAGGCTTATCAAATGAAGCGTCAGCGGCCAGATGATCCCATGGCCTCTTTCTTGGGGCAGTAGTATTTGTGAAAAGAACTCACAAGCCCACAGGACTTGAGGGATGTGTTATACTTGGTGACCAAGTGGATAAACCTCTGCCAGTTTTCTGCTCTGTGTATATAAAGCAATGTTGAGCTGAAAGAAAGACTTTACTGCAGGTGTTTCAGCTGAAGATGCCCCGGTTCAGATCCAGCCAGCCACCAGCAAAAGATGTTGGCAGATGTGGATATTCTTGGCATTCTACTCCCCTGAGCATTTCTTTTCTAGAAAAATTATTCCTGAAGTCGCAGGACCCACACGGACTAACAGCATGCACAGGTTAGGGAGCTGCAGTGAGGAGGGGAAGAAATAGGAGGAGGATTGCAACTGTTCTCCAGCACAGGTCCTGTACAGTTATATTTTTCCAGTGGCTGGAAGGGACTGAAAATTGGTGCCACAGAAGAGAAGAAAGCCACTGGCAGCATATTCCAGAGGGTCAGCAGGTATTACTTGTGTAAACAAGTGCAGGGTTCTGATTTAAGAAAATGTCTTAATTCAAACTGTTAAAAACAGCAAGAGATTTGTAACTTTGATATGACAAGTACACAACTGTGTAGTAATCTGTGTCCTGTCATTTATACAAAAGCCTTGAAGTTATTGAATACAGAGAAATGTTCTGAAGAGCCAGTCAAACACTAGGATTCTGGGGTTTTTTCCCCCTTCTGGTTCTAAGAAACAGTGGTAACTTGGAGCTTGATGCTACCGTCTATGCTCACCATAAATTAAAACTAATCAGAATTTAATTTCGTGTTCTAGCTAGCGCTGCCCAAAGACTTTTCCGTGGTCATGTGGCTGGCATGACTAAGCACAGAGACACACAGAACACTGTTACCTTCCCACCAAAGCAGTACCCAAAGTTTCTAATTTCTTGCTTTCTAACTGCTAGGTTGGCAGGAGCTGGGGCCAGAGACGGGAGCTGACTTTGTCACACGCCACTCGGGTCTTGAACTGCCAAGCTATAGACTTTCCGGTCTGCAACTCAACGTCTTAACCACTGAGCCACCACAGTCCCTACCCTCTCCCAAATCATGTTGCAACACATTCAGGATAATTCAGTCTTTCTCTGCATCTATCCACTGCTGTGCACAAAGCAGCCCATGAGAGGATGTTCCCAAACAATTGATCCCCCCCCCCATTGCCCATATGCAGGCTGTGTGTGTACACTGTCAGAGGGAAGCAAATTCACATACACCCCATGGTCTTCAGTTAAGCTGTGAGATGTGCCGTCTAATATTTTTAAACTGTAGCTGAGCTAGATTCCCAGGACATGTAATAGGGTTGGGTACTGTAGCAATTGTATTCTGGCCTTCCTTTCTCTTCAGATTCTGAGGCTCAGCTATCAGTGCTTTTTTGCCAACTACAGTTTTTCCTTGGGAAACTTCCTGGCTTCTTTGGGGTTTAAAATGGCTACCAAGGCCTTGCATTCTACATATCATCAAAACTGGGATGTATCCTAAAGTACAGCACTGTGGTATGGTGTTTTTTCCTTCTTCTTGGTAGAGCTGCAGATCATTTGCTTTTTGTTTTGGGTTTTCTTGGGCAGCTGCAATAGAATCTTGTGTTACCTTAGCCTCACAGATTTATTGTGGCACAAACTTTCGTTGATGAAGCTCACTTCATAAATCTTGTGAAGAGAGTAGGGGAGAAAGTGTGTGTGTGTGTGTTTGTCCCCAATGGTTAAAAAGTCCAAGCTGTGATCTCTCTGCTCCCTCTCTATAGAAATCAACATGCAGCCCCTCACATGTGGACTGCATGTTCTTTTGCACCGAAGGGCAGTCCACTGGCACTGCTATTGAATGACTAAAGGAAAACTGATTTGCACTTTTTCAGGATTGGTTCCTCATTTTTATAATCCTCTTTTGTCTTAACTGTTTTCTTACAATGCAGTGGGCTTAGGAGGGTGTACCTCTGTTTAGGGCTGTACTGTTTGTATCCCTGTCCAAGATGGGAGTTGACATGGGGGCTTGTTACTTAACACATTCTTTTAAGAATGAAAATGGCAGCAAGCACTGAGCAGTGTAGTCTTGTTTAACAGTAAAAATAGCCTCTTGGAATCGCTCTGTCTATATTATTAAAAAGTTTATTTGGTTACTGAAAGTGCATTTCCAGTGGTGCTATAGCAAATTTTGCTAAAATTGTATGTCAGAATGATGTTATCAACAGCAGTTCAAAAAACATCTTTTTTCATCCATCAAACAAATGCCAGTAGAATGCTCACATCCCCAAAAATGTCCTCCTCTTAAGATGTTATAAATAGACCACAGTCTCTTCTCGTGCACTGTACAACCTATTGGCACATAACATTGTTGGCAAGTGGCAGTTAAAAATATGAGTCCCTGTTTCCATTGTAGGCTGGTTCTTCAAGGGTTGTTGGGTGTTAGATGGGCTTAATCCTTTTTTCAGGTTTTTGTTGTTGTTTTTTAGCTCCTTGTAACACTGTCCTTGAGCTGTTTGACATACAAAGTTTTAGCTGTAAAGTTGCTCTAAATGGAGCAGCCAGAATCTGTTACCCAAACAAATGTAGTCTAAACGTACAGTACTGTTCTACTAATAAAAAATTGTTCATAATCCATTCTCTCTAGGGATGCTGCACAAATAAACAAGGACAGGCAAAGAATGTACAGTATTCCAGTACTAAATACAGCTGGTACTGCACAAGATATGTGTGGGTTCTGGGGCAGAGAAGCTGGAGTTTGAGAGAAGAGGGCAGGTTGACAGAAAGCCAAAAACCTCTGTAAAGCCACTTTGTTTTGACTCCCTCCCTGCTTACTGTGCCTGACCAATACTAAGAGCTCAAATACTAAATACACCTGACGTGTTGGGTCATGGGTGTGTGACCAGACTTGCAGTCAGCTGTACATCAGGAGATCTCACCTTAAACAATGTACATCTGACTGAGTTCAGACATTCACCAGTATTTGAGCCCTCAATTAAGTGGTCTTACATGTATAGTGATGCTTTGAAAGCAGCCTGGCAATGCAAGGTCATTTGAGATAGCATCCAGGGGTGTTACTGTGTGGCAGGTAAGGAGGCAAGAAGCAAACTGAACAGAGTGTATGCGTAAGTTGAGGCTTGTTTAGTACAGCCAGTAGGTTAACTGAGCTTTTAGCATGACATTTTAATGGGCTCAAAAGGGCAAATAAGCCCCTGCTCGTTCATATCTGGGAGCACACAGAATAAGGAAACAGCCATTCAATATGCACATACTTCTCCTTCTTACAAAGAACAGTAATCGGCATCTGGAGGAATAGTACTGCCATCTCTAGGGTTAGTTGGGAAGGTTCACCAGACCCTAACAATACTGGTTATAAAAACAAGATGAAAAAATAAACTTTGACAACTGTTCGGAGAGGCCGGTGTTGGAGAAGGTGGCCCCTCCCAAGTGAGCTGGAAGGGCAGGAAGGGGGTCAGAAAGATATTTAGAAAGAAGCAGTGACTTGGATGAAATACCTTGTTTTGGGATGGTAGATCCATTGCACTGTAGGAGTAGCCTAACAATATCGGTTATAAAAACAAGATGAAAAAAGAAGTGGGTAATCACCAACATGAAACTTTGACAATTGTTCGGAGAGGCCAGTGTTGGAGAAGGTGGCCCCTCCCAAGTGAGCAGAAAGGGCAGGAAGAGGGGGTCAGAGAGGTATTTAGAAAGAAGCAGTGACTTGGATGCAATACCTTGTTTTTGGATGGTAGATCCATTGCACTGTAGGAGTGACTTCGCCCCCAACTATGCTTTACCTATATGTTTGTAAATAAAGCCGCACCATTGGTCTCCGGTGCTTGCTTGCTTTCCCAAACTGCTTCTGGAACTACTCACCATATAACATCTTCCCATGTTCTCTAACCTTCCCACTATAAAAATGCTAGGTCAAAGTCAATGCAGAAGGATATAAATTGTATCGCTTCCCAGATATCAAAGGAACCTGTCTATTCTGGGAATGGAATCCTGACTTTTACAAAAGCATGTATAGACAGATATTTTCATTTCATTTCATTAATTTAATGTATACCCTGCTCTAACCCACACATGGGCTCAGGGTAGCTTACAACATGTACTAAAACTATAAAACAGTAAAAGCAATAAAACAAGTGATGACACAATAAACATCATGAAACTCTATGCCTCATATCAGGTGAATATAGGTCCTCTGGTGCCCAATAATATTTTCTGTCAGCAGGCACTGGGAGAGGGGCCATAAACGGGAGGCCAGAATGGTTGAGCGTCTGCCACCTCAATCAAACGTCTGGCAGATCAGCTCTGTTTTACAGGCCGTGTGGAACTGTAATAGGTCCTATAGGGTCCTGATCTCAAGTGGGAACATGTTCCACCAGGTTGGGGCAACAGCCGAATAAGCCCTTCCCCTGGTTGAGACTACGCAGACATCCCTCGGGTCAGGGATCACCAAAAGATGTTGATCACTGTCAGAAGAGTGTAAAGCTCACTGGGGCTCATCAGGGGGCTCATCTACCATTAGGCCAACTAAGGCAACCACCTGGAGTGCAGACCTCTGGCGGAGTGCCACAGCCTGCCAGGGAAAGAAGGCAAGACTGGAAGTGAGCCAATGAGCCATGAGTGCCCAGCAAGCGGTCTAAGGCTGGAGCATCTCATCCAGGCAGCAGCTGCGCCCGGGCAGCGCTGCGCGGGTCCTTTTTCTAGCCGTCACTTCTCCTCTTACTCCCCCACCTTACATGTGTGCTTCTTTTCTTCCTTCTCCCTGCTGGTTTCCCAACCAGCACTTAAGAGTACTGGTCCGCCCTACGCCTGCAGAGAGAGCAGCACGGGGCTCCAGTGCTCATCCACTCGCCGCAGCAACAACGCCACACTCAGGCTCCCTCACCGCCTGCTGGCCCTGCCCCCAGTGCTTGTGAATCAAAAGGCGCAGCAGTAACTGCAGCCAGGAGGGGGGGCAGGGCACCTTCTGTCCCTTCCTCCTCGTGTGCCCCCGAAGCGCCCCCTTGGCTGGAACAGAGTGCCCTTCCTTAGGGTTGCCAGCTCCAGGCTGGGGAAATCCTGGAGATTGGGGGTTGGAGGCTGGGGAGGGCAGGCTCCGGGGAGGGGAGGAACCTTGCTAGGATGCAGCATCGCCACGGGAAAACAGCCACTTTCTCCTGGCGGGGGGGGGGGGGGTCTGTCGCCTGGTGAGCAGCACCTGGAGGTTTGCAGCCTCACCCTTGCCTCACTTGTCTGGCCGTTTGGACAGGTAGGCAGCTCTCAGCCCCTTCCTTGCTGTCCAGTGGTATCCCCCTTGGAAGAGTCGCCCAGGGGGGAATCTGGGGCTCTGAAGAAAACGGGAGGGGCTGGGGATTTCCAAGAACATTTTTTTTAAAAATCCTACAGAAAATTCGGGGGGGGGGTTGTCACTGAAAACACATGCACACATAAAACCAGTTGATATTAAATCACACCATCAAGGCCAGTATTGTCTGCTCAGACCAGCCGTTGCTCTCCAAGGTGAAGGGCAGGGATCTTCCACATCACCCACTGACTGGTCCTTTGAACTAGAGAACTGGAGATCCTGCCAGGGGTTGAACCTGGGACCAGAGGCTCTTCCACAAGCTGCAAGCCAGCTGTGCAGGAGCCCTCCAGCCAGTAGTATCTGTCAAGAAGAGAAGAAGAGATTGGATTTATACCCCGCCCTTCACTTGGAGTCTCAGAGCGGCTTACAAACTCCTTTCCCTTCCCCTCCCCACAACAGGCACCCTGAGAGAACTCTGACACAAACTGCTTTTTTTTCAAGGACAGCTGTGCCAGAGCTTGTGACTGACCCAAGGTCACATCAGCAGGTGCAAGTGGAGGAGTGGGG